AGTAAATATTTGGTTTTCCTACAAACAAGTTCTAAGAGGGCGGGAGATACTGTCTTTAGTCTCCAGCATTTAACACTGTGCCTGAGGGAATTAGGAGAAAGAGAAGGAGAAGAAGAAGAAAAATCACCCGAATACAAAATAGTAGTAAATACTTTTTTTAGTACTTATTTTGTACCCATCGCAAGGGTTAATATTTCACACATACCTCTTCAATCTTCACAACTTTTGAGTCAAGAATTATTATCTCTCAGATGAAGACATCAGGCTTAGAGACGTTAAGTAACTTGCATGTGGCTACACAGCTAACAGGTAACAGACAAGGGAATCTGCACAGCGCTTGTCTCCAGAGCACATGAACTTCAAGTACTACGGAAAAGTAGGTGTGTGGACATATATAGATACTTACAAATGTAGGGTGTTTTCCATTAGAAGAATTTCAGAGGTTTAGCACTCAGATTTGAAATTCCAAAATTATGGTCACAGCAGTTCCCCCAGGTCCTTTGACCTCTCTGTCCCTCAACACAGCTGATGGCTGTCCTTGCCCTGCCTCAGAAGGATAAATATATCCTTACTTTCGATTGAATTCATTCATCTATTCATTCATTCATCAAATTCTCATTGAGTACCCCACTACTCAATTCTCATTGAGTCTCCCCACTACTCTCCTAGCTTCCTCTTAGCAGGGTTTCTCAGACTTAGCATTGTTGGCATTTGGGGCTGAATGATTCTTTGTTGTTGGGAATGCTGGCCAGTGGAGGATGTTTAGCAATTTGTCTCTACCTGCAAATGCCAATAACTCCTCCTTTCCACCCCTAGTAGTGAAACCCAGAAATGTCTCCAGACCTTGGCAAATGTCCCCTTGGGGGATCAAATTGCCCAGGGCAGGAAGTGGGTAATGCTACCAATCATTTCCTATGACTAAAAACCTAAGTCCTAGATTATTAGCTTCCAAAGGGCTGTGGGCATCATACTTATTTTGCTAATCCACAATCACAGATCTAATGCTTTCTCCCCACTTACTGTAACATCTCTTACACTGAAGATACACCATAAATATGACATCAGTGACAAGAAATTGCACTCTGAGCCTGTAGTTTTTATTGTTTCCATGGCAGGGCAAAGGCTCAGAAGACACACTGTTGGGTTCGTATCTTGTGATATGATGATTAGAATCAGATCAATGATTATTAGAATCAGATCAATAGTCTGTAAAAGAACCACTGCCAAAGTTTAAGCTCAAAGGTACAGTATAGTGTTAATGAATGTTTGGAATGAAACCAAATTAGGCTGTATCCTAATTGTGTGACATCAAGACCTGAATGCGAATGTTGATCTTGAGATCACTGGTCCTGGAGTTAGTTCCTCATTAGCAGAGGGACGGGTTAAAGACAAACATCTCCCGACACATCCTAGCCATTAGTTTGCCAACATAACAGCTACTAAATGTTGATCCCAAGGCTCTGTTGTGCTGCTGTTCGATGTATGCTGGGCTGCTTTGTCACTAGGCTTTATAATGTTCACAGTGACCCTCAGATATGCATCCCGGAACACAGTTCCGAACTTACAAAGATGACCTTGTAACAGAAATCTCAGGAACAACTTCTGCTATGACTAGCAGCAGATATTAGGGCTACTTTGTGCCTACTTTGGAGCAGGAAAGCTGGGTCTAGGAAGAATGCACTTGAGACTATTAAGAACTTGGAGAAATGAGAGGCGATACAAATATATTTACCAGAGCCTGCTTGACTGTGAGCCCTATTGATGCAAGTCAATAAACCAGATGTTATTTGGAGCACAAAACCATTTCAAAAATGTTAGTTGTGTTAACGTAGTTGCCAGAGGTGGTCATCTGGGCTTTGTGAGCCGTGTGGACCTGGGAAGTCAGGTCTCAGGCATTGTTTTTTGGCAAGGGTGGAATTGCTCCAAAGCTCAACTACTTTCTTTCATACTATCATGAATGCGTTTTTTTCTGTTTCATTATCCCCAATTTGTTCTTCACAAGTATTCATTTTTCTAGGTACAGAAGCAAGCTAAAATTATGGGTTAGTGACAAGAGGGAAACTCTAGTAAAAACTGGAAAAACAAGAATAAACAGATCTTTCCAACTTAGGTCTTAGTTATATATCTTAAAAATGTATTTTTTAATCCACATTTTTTAGGGAAAAGTTTTAATCAATCATGAATCATAAAATTAAGAATAAATACAGCAAATTATAGGTGTCCAAATATTAAACATGTCTACATTTATTTATTTAAAATATTTTTTTTGGCCACACCTCACGCTTGTGGGATCTTAGTTCCCCAACCAGGGATTGAACCCCGGCCCTCTGCCGTGAGAGCTTGGAGTCCTAACCACTGGACCACCAGGGATTCCTCTCTACATTTCATTTAGAATTTAAGATATGAGCATGGTGAACACAGTTTTATTTAATGAGTAGTGGGAATTCTGTTGCCTCTGACTCAGCAAAACACTCTGTGCCTATTTAACTATCTGTAACCATTGCAAAGCCTTGGAGATCAAACCCATCGTGAACGCATCAGTGCTTTACCCATTTTCTGTCTCTCATAGCACCTTGCTTGTGCCTTTGCTGTGGAAAGTCCTGGCTTGCATTAGAGTCGCTAACCCTTTCCTTTTGTACTTCAGCCACTAGCCCTGTGATGGTTGAGGAGTAGGCATTCAAAAAAAATGTGTTCAATTGAAATGCCTAATTTTGGGGACCCAAATTCCATTCCAGGGGTGGGGAGTGTGGTTCTTGCATTCAGCCGAATTTTTCATGTCTTCTGTGTGCATTAGAACTGTTTTGAGAAATTGACTCCTTCAAGGTATGCTGAAGCCTTACATGCCCCATGTAGCCAAGCCAGAGGCCAAGGCAACAAACAGGCTTCGTTCTAACCTCCTTTAATAGTTTATTTAAAAAATATTAGTTGCCAAGTAAGACTGGCTTTTAAAATTTCTTTAGGTCAATCAAAATGCAGTTTTAAATAAAAATGTGAAACATTTGGTAAAGGTTTAAGTGCTAATCTTTTTTAATTTGCTCTGTTTCTATATATTTTTACATTCTCTCTATATAGAGAATATATAATGTGTATTATATTCTATATAACATATATTCTAGATATTTTTCTCTCTTTTTTCAACTACAAGTTAAATGAGTATCTTAAATTTAATTTTGACCAGAGGTGCACTATTAGTGGAATTCGCATTTTATCTCTCATTATTCAAATGGTTGTCTCTCATGATGTAAGGAAGGTGGTGTATGATACCCAAATAAAATGCAACTACAGGATACAGTCTGACAGCTTTATCCTCCCATGAATGGCTAAACCAGTGGTTAAACATTCCAGAGGTAAAGCTTCACTCTAACGATCAGTTCAGGCAAATCAGACAGACCTGATTTTAAAATTCTGCTCTAGTCTTCAATCATTGGAGACCCACCCTTGGCATCTTGCAGAGAAATGAGGCAACTGGCCCAATTAAAGTAGAAATTAACATAACTTGTGTCTTAATGAATATTGAAAACCAAAGAATGGATACTGATACAGTATTGATGTAACTAGTTAATGCCTATTTTTATTGTTCTTTACTAAAGTAGTGTAAAAGATTGCGCACAAGATGACAAACTTAATGTTTTTGATCTACACAGTTTAACCCATTTTCAAAGTTGAGACTTTTGCACGTACATCCTGGTCCTTCTGCATATTTAAGAGAGGAAGGCAAACGGCCAGATTTGGATATAACTACAAGTGAAACTCGAAACCCGTTAAACCCTTGAAAGTTCTGACATATACGTTCAAAAGCATTAAACCCATCAACTGTCTATCCAATACCTCACTGCACTGTGCAAAGAGCAAACTCATTTATCTGACATTATCACTATCTTATATATCCTGGAGGCAAGCAGTCCTTGAGACAAAGGTGTATTGGAGAAAAAAGTCATGCAGAGTTTGGTTGAGAGTACCTGTATTTGGTTTTGGCTTTCTTCTTTCACAGACAATGCCCAGAGCATGCTCCAACATGGAGAAACCTGGCAGGGCCTTAGTCTCCTCCTCAACACACATAAATGACTGTTTTCAGTAACAGCAATCAAGTTGTCATCCTTAAATGAATCTCAATATAGAGAATGCACAGGTTTCTAAAAAAATAAAAAGGTAAGAAACCAGAAAAATATATAGTTAAGAGGCCCCTAAATGCTAAGGGGTCAACTAATGTTGGCTGTATCATTATACTTTTAATCTATCGCAATATCCGAATAATGGCCATTGCATTATCAACTGGTATTTATAATAAGAATTTTCACGAACTTGAGATTAAGAATTTGAGGTGAGGGGCTTCCCTGGTGGCGCAGTGGTTGAGAGTCCGCCTGCCGATGCAGGGGACGCGGGTTCATGCCCCGGTCCGGGAAGATCCCACATGCCGCGGAGCGGCTGGACCCGTGAGCCGTGGCCGCTGAGCCTGTGCGTCCGGAGCCTGTGCTCCGCAACGGGAGAGGCCACAACAGTGAGAGGCCCGCGTACCGCAAAAAAAAAAAAAAAGAAAAGAACTTGAGGTGATTATTCCTTTACCTCAGTGAGATGACCTGGAATATTTAAAAACTCTTTTAACACACTGAAGAGTGAGCACCATCTGTTTTCAATCTGTTTAGATAGAAACATTCTTTATATTCTGAAAATGAATTCTATACTGGTTTATAGACAAATTCAACATTTAATAGTTAGTTAGAAGCTTCTTGAGGAATCCAATTTTCCTTATTTATCTTTAAATAATTTTGATCAAGACTTCATATATACTTACACCAAGTCCTCTTCTAACTTCAGCTGGTTTATCACTATGTTCTACATTCAAACTCGTGAATTATGCTTTACAATGGACTCCATTAAAAAAAAAAAGCTAAATTAGAAAGCAATATCTAGGTCAGTAGTTCTCAAACTGTACATAATCACTAGTGGAATGATTAAAAATGCAAATCCCTAGGCCATACGATCAGAGATTGAGTCCATAACCATGGAAAGAGGTCTTTATTCTACATCTTCAATAAACACCGAATTGCACCTGATTCAATTTGTCTATATAACACTTTGAAAGCTGCTCATGTGGTTTAAAAAAAAAAAGGCCTCTCACAATTTCTACACAAAACAGTTCTCAGTGCGCATGGCAGTTTCTGATACACAGTCAGAAACCGGGAGTCAAAATTTTTGTGCTTTACAAATCCTGAAAACTATGTGATGAATAAGAAACCCTGTCCTATTTTTTTTCAATATTTTAATTCCTCTTAGACCATAATGGCTAGATATGAGTATTAGAATTGCAACATTCAGTATCCCAGAGTTGAAACTTAAGAGTAATTTCTAAATTGATTTACCCTTGTGTTTTTTGGGGGGTTTTTTTTGGAGAAAGCTTAGAGGAAACTGAAGGTCCTTATAGCAATGTCTTGGTTTAGGAGGCTATATAGTTTCTTGAAAGCCAATTTCAAAAAACAAAACAGAAGACAGCCTGTACTAAGAGCTCTTAACCTAAGAGAAGGAGCCTTAGAACAGGAAACGAGAGATTAAACAATAATGTCAGGTAAATCATTTCCTAGACTTCCGGTGATTCTTGGCAGCAAAAGGTTGTGCTTTGGGAAAAAAAAAAAAATCAGCCATAAAGTGACTAATTAATCAAGTGACTTATTACAAGTAAGAAAACCCAATATTTGTCAAGATGGGCTTTTAGCAGCTTGCTGTGTTTGCATAACCGCAAACACTGACTTTTTTGCCATTCTGCATCTTTTCCCAGTGTAAAATTTAACAATTTTCTGGATAATTTGATTAAATAAATACAACAGGGCCTCTCAAGTTGGCCTGCTTGTGCTTGAATTATTAGACCAAGACAGGATGAAATTTCATGATACCCAGTGCCTGAACCAAAACAAGTTATGTTTTCCATGTCTTTTCTAACATAAGGAACTTGGTGTCATGGTGATAAACTTAAGAGTCTAAAAGCAAAGAGACTAGAAAAAACAGAGCCATGATCTGCTAAGTCAAGAAAACATTTTTGCCTCAATTATAAGCATTGATCTGTGTATACTGCGTGCCTGACACACAGAGGACAGTCAATAAATATTTGTTGAAATGAACTCATTTCTCTGGTCTTGAATTAGCCTTATGACATTCATTCTTAATATTGTATATAAAGAAAAAGTCTAATGGTTCATCTTTTAGGGAAGTCTCCTGAATGAATAAGACTTTTTTTTTTTAAACCTGCAAAACAAAGGCTAGTCTGCAAATCAGTAAAACAGGAGCCGAAAATGAGCCCTCATATGATTTATACTATTGAGTCAGGCGCTCAGCTATTTCTCTCCTGATGGCTAGAGTTATCTCTGAAAATCACCAAATCTCCACTCTACTTTAAAGCAGCAACCGTAAGATAATCTCATAGATAAGTGAAACAATTTCACTGAAGTGCTATCCTTGACATAAAATGGTTTTTCACTTCAAAAAACAAAAGAAAAGGTAAAATAAGACAATCCAGCTCAGTTTAATTTCAAACGTTAATATATTTTCTATTTTATATTGAACATATGCATCTGTAACCCCTCATTTGCAGCAACTATCCCATCCTCATAAAAGGGGCAAAATTTGTAAGATGCCTCTTAAAATAAATATTCTTCTTTATAAAATAATAAAACTTCAAATAAATATTCTTTACACTAAACAATATGTTGAAAAAATTAGAAAATAAAGGTAGAATTTTACTGTAACTGTACAATATACATGAAGTCCAAAGGGAAATCAGAGTCTTACAATAAAGGCTTTCTGTAAGGCAAAATACAATCTAAAAACATACTGATTGATTCACATTCTTCCGAATGTACAACATATTAGTATAATATTTTGTGACTGTGCCATATAGTATGGCACAACTTGTTTTTCACAGTTGCAAATATTATTGTATATACAAAAATATAGCACATTATCTCTGGAGAAAACAATGGGGAAAAAAAAGTCATTTGCTAATTTACAAATTTTGCAAGTACTATTCACAAACAAAAACTTTGCCTAGGAGTGTCTGTTGCTTTAGCTTATGCAACATGTAGGTTGCCAAGATCTGCATCACATACTCTGAGCTCCATTAGCTGAATTCTAACACGCGTAAAATGGCACATGGACAAAAAGCATTTCGCTGCAAACAGCAAAGGATATCCCAACCCTCTATCAACAGTGCCAAGATTTCTAACTGTTTAGTTGGTTGCATATGTATGTGTTAAAAAAAAAAAAAGAAAGAAAGAAAAAAAAAGGGAACAATCCTTATCACAGCAATATTCCTGATTAATGATGCTATGTTGGTTTTTCAAAGTTCCTGGGTGGGACAGTGGGAACTTTGCAGCAGACTGTGTTTGAATTTTTACAACGGCATCCAGGCCTGTTCACCCGGTCATAACACCCCTGGCACAATTTAAGGCAACCCTTGGCTGGAAGGTAACACCATAAACAAGGCAAAAAGAGGGACATGACGCCCATGGCCGACCACCGTGTACAACAGTGAGACTGGCTGCAGGAACACGGGTTGTCAGCACAGTTGTCCTCGTCATCATTAGAACAGTGATAGAAGAGGCCTTTCACACAGCACACGCAGGTCCCGTAGTCGATCACGTTCTGGGCCGAGCAAAGGCACTGCTCGTGGCAGATCCAATCCGATGGCAGAGGCCTTGGGTAGGTGCACTCCTTACATTTGCACTTGCCGCAGTCCTCACACCTGTAGGCGTGCAGCCCCAAATCCTCCTTGCTCAGCGGCTTAAGCTCACCTGGCTGGAGCTCTGATTTGGGCTGCACCCGGATTATCCCATCAGCAACAGGCCCCGAGGAGAAGGATGATCCCAAGAGCCTCTGTTCAGAGGAAATGCTGCTGGTACTTGTCCTAGTACTGCTGCGAGACCCCGAGCTGACTGTGCTGACGGACCTGGACAGAGTGGCCCTCGCAGAAGCGTGGGCCTGTGAGTGCTGGGGCCTGGGGGGCTGGCGGTGCTCAGGCAGACCGTGGAGTCTCTCGTGCTTGTGCTGAGCGGAGGGGCGAGGTGCAGGCTTGAGCCCAGGTCTGGGGACCACAGTAGGCCCCTCTGTGTACTCATTGGTGTTTCGGATGGCTCTGATCTGATCCAGAGACAGCACGTGTACCTGCTGGGCGAGGGCGTCTCTGGGGTCGGGCTCCCCACGCTGCCTGCCACCGTCACGGGCTGCCTGCAGCAAGGGCTGCGATCCGCTGCCACTCTGAGCTCTGGCCTCCATCAGGTCTTGGAAGTATGCTCACCCCAGCAGGCTTAGAACACATCTGAATTCCTGCGGAAACCAAGAGGAAGGAGACGGTTTACACTCCAGGATACTTCCCACTCTCCACCCCCTTGAGTTAACTCTTCACTCCCCACCTCCCCCAGAGAAACAGGCTTTCAAGCGGAGTTGCTGTGGAGGGGAGTTGCTGTGGAGGGTATTCGGACAGCCATCTGAGCCACGCCTGTACCAAAAAGTAAAAATTACGGCTGTGCATCAGCAATTCTTCAATCCTGTGATGTGTGGTGACACCAGGCTGATCTTTGTTTCAATCGCGTAAGTAACAATTCCTTACTCAAATAAGCATAAAATCTGCAAGGTTCAGGTTCCATGTAAAACACTGTGGGAAAGTAGTGTTGGAATATAACATTGATACTGACATTTTCAAAAGTTGAATACCTTTTCAGATTCTGAAACAGGTTTAAACTTATGATGGTCATTTTTGCCTTAAACATCAATAAATACAGCCTAGAAATTCTTGGTTCTTAATTAAGTCTGCTTTTGCATTAAATACCTTGAACTATTCTGTAACTTTATAAAACCTCATAGGATGAATCTGACATGCAAAAAACTAAATATCCCCCCCCCAGGAATAGTTATACATTTTATACAACAATCATGAATTATCATTAACTACACAGTAGCACAAAGTAATAGATTTAAAAACACACCAATTCAAATCCTGTCAGGTGCCAGGACTACAATAAAGCAAACTTACAACCAGGAGCAACAAAAAGACAGGAACTTATTTTCAACTTCCCAACAACTTGAGAATCACATATTGTACAACCCGAGAGCCTGGGAGAACATTTTAAATTCTGCCAAAATCTTAACTACTTTGCGCATTTCCAAGAACCTAATAAACTGATTGGCGGTAACAGGAAGTGTTTTAAAAATTCAAGTGTCACGTCTCAAATCTATCATCCTGACAAGTAACCGCTTAAATGGCCACCTCTCTGTAAAATTTCAAAACTACCACCCCCTTTGCCAACCAAGTCTACAATGACTAAAAACGCGCAAAAGTGGACCTTCATCCAGTCTGGCTTTTTAGAAAAGAGACACAGGCAGGTGACACACGCCTTCCAATTCGGAAAAAGGCAGAGCTGGAGACCGGATCTCAGTTCCAACAGAGAGGCTAGACGAGATCGCGCTGCTCTTTGCTTTCACTCCGTTTATCGGCTCTATCTGCGCCCCGACACGGTCCCCAGCAGGTGGGACACACAGTCGGAGCCCCAAGGGACTTTTTTCCGGGAGGACTGACGCAGCCCAGAAGCCAAGCTGGCCCCCCTGCGCACAATTCCGAGACGGACAGACAGGCGGGGGACGCGGGCGCCTCGGAAGGGGACGTGCCCTGAAACGCTAGAGCGCGCTTCCCCCCCTCTTCATTCGCAGATAGAATCTCCCCCACCCCAGAGAACTGCCTCCCAGCTCCAAGAGGGAGCCACTCCACCCTTAGGCGGAGGTCACACCGCCCATTGCAACACGTTGCGGCCAAGGCCCTCGAACACGGGGCACTGGCCCTGCCTTGGACATAGAGCCGGTACTTCGAGGTCTAACCCATGCACACCGGGCGACTCCACCCTGCGCTGACCGAAGGGGCATTGCCTGCAATCTGCAAACGCCTATATATTGAAAAAATATATATCTATATACATGTATATACTTCTTAAAGTCAAATAAAAAATGCTTTTAAAAGAAAGAACATTTTCCAGGGTCCCACGCCGGGCGTGCAAGACCCAGATCCCCAAACTGGAAAGTTTCCGCGCAGATTTGCTTGCAGTGCAAAGTAGCATCTTTGCGGGTAAGGAGGTTTACTAGAGAGATTTCTGCTTATCCCTGGCCTCCTTCGCAGCACCCCTCCTTCCCCCGCTCCCTCGCCCCCGCCCCCCCGCCCCCCGCTTTGAAACCCCCATTAAGGACAGTGTGTGATCAGACTAAGGATTAGGGGGAAAGGACTTCAGCACAAGCAAGGGTGGGGCAAACCGACACAGAAACCGCTTTGTAAAAACGCACAAGATTCCGAATTAAGAAACAGCAGCAGCAACAAAAAAGTGGATCAGCCCATCAAAGGAAAAGGGAGGGAAAAAAAAAAAAACACCTTAGCCACTTTTGCCACCTACTTTCAGGTAATGGAAAACGATCGCGACCGCTTGATGACTTTCTTCCTGTGCTGGGTCGGCCCAATCTTCCAAAAATAAAAAAAAGCATGACCCAAGCCGACCACGGCGAACGGAAAAAAGAGAAAGCTGCACTTCCGAACCGCAGAGACGCGGCGCCAGGCAGGGCGACGCTCCCACCCGGCTCCGTGCTCGCCTGTGTTCACACCGAGCAGAGGCGGAGGCTCCCTCCACCCGGCACCCTGTCCTTTTTTCACCCGCGAGGTCTAGCTGCCCCCGCGAGGCGAGCTACCCACGCTCCCTCGGTAACCCCGGCGCCCCTGCCTCGGGACAGCCTCTCTCAGGACGTGCCTTCCCCGGAGAGGAACAGGTTAGCAATGCGGGCGCCTGCAACGGCGACCTGGAAAACACAAAGTGTTTTCCCTCCCTCTCCCGCTCTCAGCGCCTAATTCGCGGCCAGTGCACCGCCGGGACCCGACTCGCCGCGAGCCGTCCGCCACCCCAACCCCCCAGAGCGCGGGCGCGTGGGGTCGGGGACACTGCACCCGGCGCGCACTGCAGCCCCCGCCGAGGCAGACAGAGCCCGAGGCGAGGCAGACCCGCGGGCAGCTCCCGGGTTCCCCACGGAAAACCTGCGGGGTTAGAGAAAGGGAGGCCGGAGGAAAGACAGACCCCACTCCCGGTCCGGCTGCACCTACTCCATGTTGCCCACAACGCGCCGGCCACGGAGCCAGGACGGGGAAGAGCCAGCCAAACGCGCCTCACCGTGATCGCGGCTTTGCACCAACCCCTCTCCGTTGGATTCTCTTCTTCCTGCGATGTGCAAATAAATCCAGCCCCGATGCAAACTTTTTCCCCTCTTGCTTCTAAACTCTGCTTCAGCCTAACTTCCGAGCAATCGGCTGGACGAGAAAAGGAGAGGAAAATCCGGAGCGAAGTACCCAGGCGATGAACACTCTGGAGTTCGGGGCTGGAGGCGACCCCCTTTCTAAACGCGCACGCGGAGTATTTCCTCTTTTTTCTCAATGAACTGGAGGCCAAAGCGCCAACGGCGAGTCTCCTTTCTTGGCAGATGAGCGAATGAGAAAAGAAAACGGCCTTACAGGGAACCTAAAGCCAGATGGCCAAGTCGCGCGGCCGCGGCCGCGTCCGAGCGGAGGCGGCGCGGGGGTGCGGGGCGGCAGGGCTGCGGGCCGGGCGGGCGCGGGGGCCTGGGCGCTGCGCGCTCCGCCGGCCCCTCTCCTCCGCTCGCGCTGCGGCGCGCAGCTCTCGGCGGTGCAGACTGGGCGTTGTGGAGGCGCGGCGGCGAGGCCGAGGCGGGGGCGGTGGGTGCGAAGGAGGAGGAGAAGGGGGAGGGTCTGGGGCCCGGACGGGGGGGCCCGCCGTTGGCTTGCGCCCTCGCCTTTCCGGAGGAGGCAGGGAGCAGCTCTGCGGCGGCCGCGGCAGCAGTAAATGGCGTCATGTGGATCCGAGGCGGAACAGAGCAGTTGTTGTCCCAGAGGATATATCGCATCCGGTCCCAGCTCATTGGCTCCGCGGGGCTACATTCACTCACACTCCAGCGCCCGCCAGCGCTCCGAGCCGCAGGAGGCATTCAAAAGGGCAACTGCGCCGCCCCGCGCGTCCCTAGGCTGGTCCTGCCGCCCGGGCGCCGTCACGCGGGGTGCCCGCGGGGCCGGGCTGGGCACGGCGGGGTCAGTTTATCTAGTTTCAAGGAAACACTGACCTTAAGGTTTCCCCAGGGGCCATGAGGACGAGCCTTAGTTCGGCTGGCCTTAGGGAACTTTCTCCCCGCCACTAGGAAAAGGCAATGAACATTTCAAACTAATCCGGGCCACGCAGCGTTAGCATTAAAAGCAAGTTGCAGGTTTTGAGACTTTATTCGGAATCCATTGCAAGCCAACCTCTCCCCTTTTCTGTTCCCCCTCGAGGGGGCGACGGGGAGAGAAGAAGGGGGAGGGGAAGGGGAGCGGGAAGTGAGGTGGGAGGGCTATTGGTTTATTCTTTGTCTACTGGATTAACCCGATTATACACCAGGCACCAGCACAAACCGCCACTCCCACCTCAGAGCTGCGTACGAGAGGAACGGAATGCAGATTCGAGTTTCAAGTGCCTTCTCCTCTTGCCGGGATTTGCTTTTGATTGTGTCGTTTTTCTGTTTAATATTAGATTTTAATTTTAAAGGGGCAGTTAGCTACAGATGGAGGCTTTCTGAAGATCTTTCTTACTGTTTTGTTTGACGCAACAGCGGAAGGAAACTGTACAATACAGGCCTTCTTAAAATTAGTTAATTCAGTCATACACACATAAACGATTACTAAGGGCGACATCACGGGCTTCTGAAATGGGAGGGGGCACGCTGTTTCACTGCAGATGTCCTCCTCCACTCAAAGAGTCACCCTTCATTTCCGACTCTCCTTGTCACGTAGAACATTTCCCAAGAAGATCCTATTGTCCATTTTGAAGATGGTCTGTGTTTTCCCACTTTAAGAAAATATGTATACGTATATAAAGATAGAAAATGCATACATATGCACTGCTCTAACTGCCGTTCATTTACTAAGCAAACGTGCTTGCACGTGAGAGCACCGGTGGGAAATTAACACCCCTCCCAACACACTCCTAATGTTGGATTCTAATGATTTACAGAACGGTTTTACTTTACAGAGAAGCACGGTCAAAACTCCCGAAGAGCACCTGCGATCTCGCCGTGCTGGGGTTAGAGTTCTTGAAACAGTGCTAGGAAAACGTGGTTGGTGCTAGATTTCCCGGGTCCGGCTCCAGCCCACATCCGTTCACAGCTACCCTGGCACTCGTTGCCTTCTCCCGAGCTCTCGTGCTGGAACGTCCCCGGACCGTTCCCGGCCGCGCTGCGCTCTCGCCCTGCCTTCTCCATGTTTCTCTAGGGCTCTCTCTCCTCGCCCGAGGTTTGGACCCAGAGGTGGCAGGGGAAGTGGCATGCGTTATTTCCGGGCGCTGGCCTACGTCCCCCCACCCCTCGGGTGAGGGTGGACCGGGCTACGTCCGCCTGCTCCACGGCGTCCCCGGGCCTGAGGACACGGAACGACTGCCCCCCACCCCCACCCCAGCTCTGGCCGCTCGCCCGACGCCCGAGTCTTTTGAGCCTCCGGGTGAACTCAAGCGCCGCGGCGCTCACGGCCCGTCGGGCCACCAGGGGGCGCCCGCCCGCCCGGCGCGGGGCTGAGGTGCTTTCTTACCCGGGACTCAACGAAGGCAGGCGGAGGTGCCTTCCAGAATGTACCTTGGGCCGACTGGTTCACAATGAATAAAAAGACATTTATTATGTAAGTGCAACAGCAGGTGGCTTTCCCTACCCTCTTTTCGGACACATTCCTTTTGAATGTGAGATGAGGTACCAGGTGCAGAAGAACCCCGGTTTTTACCGAGGGGACGGACTTGGGGGCCAAAACCAGGGTGTGCAAGGCTGGTGGGAATGCGCTGCCTGAATATGGCCAAGTCTCCGGCAGAACAGGTGAAAGAAACGCCTTCTCTTCGCTTCCTCAAACCCCTGCACCCGATGGCTGCTTCTTAGGAGACACTTGTGCCCAGGCTGTGCTCCCAGCGCTGCAGGAACTCTGTGAAAACACGTTGTTCTGGTTCAAAGTATAAAATGGAATTTAAATTAGAAGCCTCCGGCTGCTGAGAGTACCTTCCATTTTTACTGAATCAATAGAGAAGAATCTAGGAATTTATACTTATCTTTCATGAGCTAGAAGGAATCCCATGTAATCTAGCTCTTCCTTCTTCCCCAGCAGCCTCCTGTTTGCAAGCTGGGAAAACATTTACCCTTTAACTTAAGAACAAGGTAAAAACGAGAATCTATTGGAGTCTTTCTAATTTACTCCTTACTATTTAATTTATTATTTATTATTACTACCTTTCAGAAGTGGTGTATAAAGCACTATATTCTGCCTGCAAAGTTTACTTAGTTGTCATCCCAAAGAGGAATTATGCTTCCAGGTATGCGTGTGCATGCACACACAATGAAGTGTTTGGTGCAGCTATTGTAATGTGTCCCAAAATTGATTCTCATGTTACATGCCAAAATTATAACTGGGGTTAATTTTGGAAGATACTTTAAATTTTGAAAGGATGTTATGTAAAACTTCACAATGAAGCCCATTTTCAAACGTGCTGTGGAGGGTTCTAGAGAGGCAGCCCTGATGTTTGAACACGTGTTCCTGTTCCCTGATGTTGAAAAATGTCCAATCCTTGGAAATGCCTGCTACACTGGTACTCACCTCTAAGTTCTCTGGAGGGACCAGGTAACATGCCTTCTTACTCTTACTCTAAACTGACATGAATTTTGCCTCCCCCAGTCTTTGGTAGACACTGTGGACATGCTTCTTTACCAGTAGGTCTGTTGGCCAAGTTAAGTCAGATATTTTCAAGGTTGCACGTAATCATCTGAGCTTCTGATTTATGTCTTAGTAATGGGAGAATGTAGTTTTAAACAACTCTATTTCCAGTTTCTTTGTGAGATTGACCAAACCACTTGGGCTTACTTGGTTCAGGCCCAGGTTTGATAACCAGAGAGATATCTTGCAGTGATATGATGTGTTTTTAAGACAAAGAAGAATATTGATTACTTGGTTATTTTATTTTATTTTTTTTTAGTTTTATAACCAAGGTGAATTATATATGTATTCGTATTTAAAGATGGCCCAGAATACAACAGCGTATACTGCTTCCACGAGTAACAATTTAGTATCCCAATTGCCTTAGTAAACAATTTATGCATGGACTCTTCTGGGAGGGACCTTCCTAAGTTAAATAAATGGTTTTGCAATAATGACCTTTTGATTTGACAGCCAGGACTGTAGTCATTTTACTTTTTTGAATTGCTTTGAATCTCCAAATCTATAGCTGCTACCTTTTGGAGGGAACTGGAAGTGGCTGCAATAGGAATTCAAAATAGAACACTTGAGTTCTTATCTACATCCCTAGGAGGACTGGGGACAGCTTATCTCTGCATCTGACCTTCTTTGGTGATGTCCTTTCATCTAAACTGGGGGAAAGATCTGGAGTTATCCCTGGGTAAGAGAAGTGGTTTGATGAGTTGATCTTAAACCAGAGGCTCTGATTGGTCGGGTCTTTTTTCAGAGATCTTATATTCAACCTGAATCCACCTGGTGGTTTCTACTGGTTAATCAGTCTTCCTGCTGGCTCCATGCACTTTATTACTACAAGTTATGCAAAGTCAGAAGTGGACTGAATTTCTGTAACAAGGCAAAATTTCTCTGCAGTCCAACATGATTTTTCTCATTATATTTTCAATATATTTATCCGTTGACCTTACAGTCAAGCTTCTTTCTTTGTAGCACTGATGTGTGCAGAGAAAGTCTAATCAGTGAGACCACAGCATTGTTGCTTTGCCTGTCCCCAAATAGCCCTAGGTTTATTAGTTTTATTCTGTTTGTTTTTAACATTTGATCCCTTTATTTTGGAATCTTTTTAACCCAGATGCTAAAGTGAAAATCATAAATTGAAATGAGTATTTGGATATTACTGGCCAAGCTTAGTAGCAGTAGGAAGATTTTAGCCTCTGAATAAATAGGAACTTTGGGTTTTTTTTTTTTTTTTTTTTTGGAACTTTGGGTTTTATACTTCCCATTATGTGGACCCGTGATCAAAAGGGCATAGGAAGTTCATCCTGTTCTCTAAGGAAGATTTCATCAAACAGATTCCACGACAGCCATTCTTATGATCCAGAAGACATAAAATCCAGGCTTCCAGCCAGCCCTGAATTAATAATCTCAGTTAACAGGTCAGGTCTAAAAATCTTCAATATGGTAAATGGAATATGGGTGCATGCAGATTCAATTTGTTCTTCCTGTCCTGTTCCTTTGCACAGGAAGTATTTCGAAGTTTCAGTGAATTGTGAATCATTTGAGAATATTGTGGTGTTATATAAACCAGCTTTTCTATACAAACTGTGTATTGGGTGTGACTCTTCGAAAGGCTAGACTGCTCCAAGGGTCTGAGGGAGTCTATGTCAGGACTGCCTTGGACTTAGTGGGCTGGAACTGAAATAGAAAGGTTCTTCACCATCTTATTCTTTAAAAAAAATCACTCTAAACGTTATCCACTCAATAAGTGCTTTCCAATAAATGAATGAATTAATGAATGTAATTAAAATAAGTAAATATTTTTTGCCTTAATTTTCTTTCATCTTTTTTTTGTTAAATTTATTTATTTATATTCAACTGTGTTGGGTCTTCGTTGTTGCGTGCGGGCTTTCTCTAGTTGCAGCGAGCGGGGGCTATTCTTCGTTTTGGTGCACGGGCTTCTCACTGTGGTGGCTTCTCTTGTTGCAGAGCACAGACTCTAGGCATGTGGGCTTCAGTAGTTGTGTCACCGGGCTCAGTAGTTGTGGCTTGTGGGCTCAAAAGAGCAGGCTCACTAGTTGTGGCGCACGGGCTTAGTTGCTCCACGGCATGTGGGATCTTCCTGGACCAGGGCTCGAACCTGTGTTCTCTGCATTGACAGGCGGATTCTTAACCACTGCACCACCAGGGAAATCCCTTGCCTTAATTTTCTTAAAGCAAATAAAGAGTTTTTGGATTTTTTAATGGCAGAACTTGAATCATTCCGTTAACCTGCAAATTACTACTGTGTTTTGTGTAATTATTAGGAAGTGACTGAAATAAGTTTGTTCAGACCATGATTTTTAACCCCTGAAATAGTAAATACTATAAAGTTTCAAAAGAAATCTTAAAAAAAAAAAGAAATCTTTATGGAAATTTTATGTGTTTGGAAGAAAATCCACATCTATTCTCAAACTATATAATAAAGAAATTAACAAAAAGGCTGATCATGGGGGGCTAAAGAATAGGTAAAAGAAAACTCATGAATTTTTTACTGAAAAAGTCCATTTGGCAAAAGTCTAAGTATATTAATAATTAAAATTAAGTACTAATCTGTAGTTTCAAATTAAGAAGTTAGCACTTTGCTAACCTTCAACAAAGCATTTTTAAAATAGCTTCAAGAAAGCCACCAAATAGTGAACCATTTTCGCCTTTCATGTTCTATGTGAAAGTCCCCTTGCAATTTTGAGAAATATTCTTCACACCCTGTTTACAGTACAGCAACATACCTGCATTATACCCTAAAAGATGTTAAAATCATGCACGGGCAAAATTAGATCTAAAAAAAATTTTTTTTTTAGCCGTCATTCCTAAAAAAAAATGATACTGAAGGTTAAACTGTTAAATGTCATAATAGGTTCCAGAGACGCTGGGAGTTTAAGAAATCTGGAATTAGGTTCAGGCTAGGTCATTTGGGGCCAATCTGATCGGGATGCCCTGATGCTCAAACCCCCTCCCCCGGCTTTTCATTATTCCTGGATTAAAGATCTCAGTCCTTAACCCAACTTCCTGGTCCTACAGTCCAGCCCCTTTTCCTTCCCAGCCTCCTGTTACTGCACACCCCCTGCTTTCTGCCTTGCTGCTGTGACTATTACCTCTGTATATGCAATCTCCCCTTTCACTTTTCTGGCCTTTTGCTGTGTTAACTCCTACTTATCTTTCAAATCTCTGTTGTCTTTTTCTCAGGAAACCTTTTTTCTGACCCTTTGACTAGGTCAAACCTCCCTTGTTCCTCTCCTGACCTTCTCTGCTGCAAACATACATATAATTGAGTGATCATTTATTAACTGTCTCCTTCGCTGTATTCTAAGCTCCATGAGGGCTGGAATCCAAGTCGGGTGTTGCCTGCCATTTTACCCCCAGCACTGAAGGGTCTGGCACATATAAGTAACTCAAACGTTTTAAAGTAAGATGAATGAATGAATGAATGAATGAGTCAGGCAATTAACCTTAGTGCCCAACTATAAAAGAGTTGCTGTTAGGATTGGATGATATGAAGTATCTATGAAGGCTAGCATATGGGAAGCTCTCAGTAAGTAGCAGTGATAATTTCAGTTAAATTGGGCTTGGTAGTTTATTTGGTAAATGAATATGGTAAATGAATATTTAAATATGGTTTTGCCTCCATATTTTCAAAAAGTTTTAAAATTACATAGTAAGCACAATTTGATTTATGTGTCTTATTTGTTTGTGCTTATGTAGGGATAAAAATAGAGATTTAGAACACGTTTTGACTGTTATTAGCTATATTCAACTATTAATAGTATTTCAAAGAAACTTTAACCCTACACTGATTTTTGTTTTCATGTGACCTTCTCAAAGTAGGTAGAGAACTTTAGGGAAGATGGGACTTATTTAGCTGATGTGGTTGTTTCTGACTGGAATGTCTCCTCATTGAATTACTTGTTCAGGAAATC